AGGGAGAAAATCCGCTCTCTACAGGGTGTGTCATGAGCACGATCACAAAGTAACTATGGCATAGGAAGCGCGATTGCTCACTGTTTATTATTTATTTTGCAAAAGTAACTGGAATCATCATAACAAGGTACATCTTGCGCGTCATATAGCTAGCTTCGATGGGATTATGCGAGATTTGTTGATACATTCTGGTATACACGTCCTTCAGCGGCTTCTTCAAAGTTTCAGTTGTGGTGCGTTTGAAACGTGAGCTTCGCTCTTCACATAGGAGGTTCGCTGGGTTTATGTCAAGCCCTTCCTTTGTCCAGTGAGAACCTGGGAATAATTTTGCTAACATTTTCGGGACATCTCTTTTAAGTTTTCTTTGTTTTCAGGGCCGCAACTTGGCCATGTTGAAGGGTAAGATCAAGTATTCTTTGGAGGAATCTCGCGCTTACCTACCGACTACCTTCTCGAACGGTGCCCTGTAAACACCTTTCAACTGATTTTCAGTTCTTTTTCGACCGTGATGAGTGCAGTTCATACGACAATAGAAACTCCTGCCCAAACTACCTCAGAGAAAACCGACCCTTCCAATAAGTTTTATGGCGCTTGCTGCCAAGCACACAGGTGTTCTGCGTGTCCTTTTCAGCAATTTCCTCCAAGCGGAGAATGCTGCATGCCCAACGGAGCTTTTCCTCTTCTGTAATCTTTAATTCCTGCCTGGGGGCTAGTATTTTTGGTGAACTTGCAGCTATTCCACTTGCAACTGTGGCGTAAATATATGTAGAGTGAGTCTTGCTTACCGACTTTTGTGTCATAATAAGATTCTAGTCATGTTCATGGCGCAACTTGTGGGTGAAGTTTTCTGAGGCGCTATCGCAAGATATGGGGGCATCGTGGTGCCAGTGCATTCAAAACAGCGCGAAACATCTCCTTTTTGTTGCATATGGGGTAAGCAATAAGCAGGTTAGGAGGGACTCCAGGATATGATCAGTTTTCATTTTCCTCGGGGCTCTCGCCCCTTCCTAGGCGTAGTTCTGGAGGATGCCCCCGTATTTTGCGATAGCGCCTTTTCTGCCACCATTTCGAGCGAATATATCGAAGGTGGTTGCCATCTCAACATGGCAAGCTTTTTGTGGAACCATCAGTTATGCGTTCGGTAATTTAGCTTTCTGGCCAATTACTATAACCTAATGAGTACTACTGGTGGTAAAAATAGTTGGAGTAGTTTTTCGGAGTCGTTTACCTGCAAACCACTTCACAGCCGTGGTACGTCAACTAACGATTGTTTGTCCCTTCAATTACCTACGCAAACTCCAATTGCTCTTGAAACAAGCAAATTGATACGGTACGTGTTATTGGTTGATTAGGCATGTTTATAGGAGCGACGACATCACAGGAAAACCACATTACAGGGCAATCATTCAGCCCTTTGAATGATAATATTTGTACAGTAGTCAGAGGCATGTCCCCTGACTTCTGTCTGTTACTAGTACTTTGGCTAATTATTTCTTTGATTTTTGAGTCGCTGAAGGTCGAAGGAAGCCCGCCTCGTACCCCGAAAGTCTCGTGATTTATTGACACCTCCGGGGGATAGCAATTCGCCCTCCCAATTGAAACGTGTTTGCGAGCGCTTTTCGATCGTTCAGTTTGTGGTTTTAGCTCTGGCTGACAGTCAATGACTCGCGAGTTTTTGCCCCTCCCGGTTAAACAGTGCGAGAATTGCGGCGTTCGACGCAAATATGCCACATTTCAGTTCCTGTGTCGCATTGGTCAAAGTTCACGTGTTACCTCCCGGACTCGGTTGGGATGCCACACCCATCTCGCGATACCGAGTGGTTTACTTGTTCCTCAAATATCGAGCTACAAGTGCTGAGGCTCGTGAATTGAGTTCAACAAGGCACCAACTGCACGTAGGACCTTCGCCCGCTGAAGGGGCAGAGGATAGGCGGATAAGTATTGGTTCTCAACTATCAACCAAACCCTCAATCAAAGTTATGTACCTGATTTTACATACAGGGGTAGCCAAAAAAAGAGGCAGGCCCCACATTTTAGCCAGCATCAATCACACTTTGCTAAATTCAAACCACTGCTCTCAACTCAGTAATAATACCTGTACCAAGGATATCACAAGAATTTGCCATGGGAACCTTGTGCACGGTTCGAGCTCAACTGGTCCTCGGCGGATCATGGACCTTTACGACGTTATCTGAAACGCTGGTCGGAAGGGGTCTTGCATATTTAGAGCTACTGTCTCTAGGAAGCAATCCGTCAGTTAATCGATTAAAGAAATTTGTAGCAGCTTCAGGCTGGAACGATTACGGTAGGCCTTCTTGAGCTCAACGGTGATGGAAGATGACGTCATATTTTGAGGACGGTGAGGGCAGTGGAAGGAGGGCCTGCTTCTACTTATGGGAGGACATCTAAGGGATATTTTGCCGTATCAACAGCGGCACTCTGTGCGACGAAAAGTTTGATGATGTGCGCCATGGGCAAAGTGTCTTTTTTTGGCCACCCCTGTATTATCGGGTTCATGGGCTCTTCTGCCTCGCAATCACCTGTTGCGCCTGTCATTTTCTTCTTCAGCAAATCAATCAAAATTCAAAATCAGCGTTTATTGGCTCTTCTTGGAAAACTCAAAAAGTACGTAATTCCCAGGATCAGTGGTTTTCTCGTGAAAACTCGGAGGAAACCAAAAGAGCTTGTTACAGGAGTGCTCATGAGTTACGCCTTACCAGGAAGGTCTTTCAGGGCGTGACGAAGCTTTTTGAAAACGGTCTTTTGCATGATATAGGGGCAGATGCGGGAACCACAGAACCATGTTTAATTTTTCCTGAACGGCCCTCTGAATACCAGAAAAGGGGGTCCCTAGTTCGATTCCTCTTGGTGAC